GAGGGCTAGCGTGCTCTGGTCCATGGGGTCATGAAGAGTCAGACACGACTTAACGACTAAACAACAACAAAGAATGGAAATGGGATCATTTGGGGAGACAATGTGTCTAAGAAGCAGAAGAACCAAAACATTGAGCACAAAATTTTCAATTGATGTAATTTCTTAGCATACACTATAGCATAAGTCCAAATTAGCACTTGCTATGTATATCCAGCCTTTACCATCAATTCTCTCCTGACTTCGGAGACTGAGATAATATTTTAGATAGTGTCTTGGTTTTTGGCTGAGGTCTCCCATCACCCAGCCATAAGAATCACATAGAAATTCTACTCCAAACACTTGCAATTTAAAAGTAAATGTTCAACAATAAAGTATAGAGAATAGTTAGTATTTCCATATCTCTGTTTAAAGCTGTTCATCCAACATCAGAATATTCATCATGCGGTCCAATGTCTGGAAGGACAGGAACCAGAAGAAAAAAATACAGGAAATTGACACTTTACAGACCTGTGGTGGGAACAGAAGTAGAGAACAAGTTGAAAAACAAAATGCTAGACTCCAGAAAACAGTAAGAAAATACTGGCTGAACCCCTTAGTGTAGTAGGATGTAACTAGATTAGGCCAATTTCAATCAATAGAATTTATGGAGGAGTTGACTTACCAAGACCCCACTGATCCAGAGGGCCTACTCTGCTGCACCTTATGATGCAAAGCAACAGGATTTCAGCCAAGATGGCTGATATAGCATAGGAGAGGTCAGTTGTTCTCGATTCAGACATGGGGCAGTAGGAGGGAAGAATTCCATGTTCTTTCAAGTAGGACATCTGAAAATCCTCAGCCCCTTGTTTCAAGTGTAGACAGATGGTGATGTCATGTTTTGTTACCCCAAACAAATTCAGAATTGCAAAATTGCATCATCCTCTGCTTTTGCTCATGCCACTGTTTTAAGTATTTCCTGTTTTACTATTTGTTATGTTTTGTTCCCATAGCTAGGGTTCTGGGGAAATTAAGCAGCTTAGTCTTTAATCCACGTTGCTTTCACCTGGGTTTCTGGAGGGTGGATTAAAGTTTGCAGTCCATTTTCCAAATGGATTATGAAAAACCTGCCAAGTTCTTTTTGGGTTTGTATTTAGTGGCTGGAATTGTTAGCTCAAAACGTTACTAGGTTTTAGGGGAGCACATTTTGTCCTTCTTCTCAAAGACGTAATCTTCTGCTAAAAAAAAGAAGCAGAAATCTCAAGGAAGCTGCCACATCTTCATAGACACCATTCTTAACTGGGGAAGAGGTGCAGCCAGACAACTGGGGTGGGTGGGGGAAAACTAGGTCCCTCTACTATAGTGCATTTTCTAAAAGTGTTTTGAGTATTTTCCTTTGCAGACAAACCAGAAAAAGTATTTCCAAAAGCAACAAATCTGTACCTGAACAAATGTGCTACAATTCATGAAAACATATGCTACGTATTAGTTTTAAAGGTGCCATAAAAATTGTGTTGATTTTGCAGCAACGGACTAATGCTCTGGAAGTTTCCACAGTGTTTGTAACTGTTGCTTGTTGCACTGGAATGCAGCTGCAATCTGATACATCCTTATATCTAAGATCCACTGTGCACCATGTTTTCCTTCCTTCAAATTTGCACTGCCATTGTCTGTTCTATTTTGGACGTCTCACTGTGAATTTGCATGCATGTAAAATCCTGCTGTTTGCTACGATGCAAAGTAATCCTTTAAGATCAAAAGGCTGAGTGATTATTTTCATTAGGAATCAAGTGCCTGTTTTCATAAATAGGCTTAGCCTAGTATTACAGTATAAGTACTGGAACAGTGATGTCTACATTGGCTTGGGCATGTTGTGAGAAAGGCTGATGGTCGGATTCCAAAAGATCTCCTGCATGGAGAATTAGTGCAGGGAAATCGCCCAAGAGGGAGACCACAGCTGCGATACAAGGAAATCTGCAAGCGGGATCTGAAGGTCTTAGGAATGGACCTCAACAGATGGGAAACCTTGACATCTGAGTGTTTAGCCTGGAGGCAGGCGGTGCGTCATGGCCTCTCCCAATTTGAAGAGCCCCTTGTTGAGCAGGCTGAAACAAAGAGGCAGACCCAAAACCACCCAAATCAGGGAGCTGGACAGAGTTAGCATCTGAAGTGGAGTCACAATCAGCATCTGTTGCATCTTTCCTTTAGGTCCTGTCCTTCAGACAATGTGTTGGTAAAAGAAGCAGAAATATCTGGATGATGCTGACATTTCCAGTTACCTCACTGCATATGCTAACTTTCAGTATTCCTTGAAATATATAAAACATTCAAATTCTGGGTATTTTCTGACAATCATCAACTTGCAATGAAGAGCCTTTAATTTGATTTCTAAAGTAGCGGTAAGTTTCTAGCGGTCTAAAAGATGTGAGCAGAAGTAAGGAAGTAGGGCAACATATTAGAAGCAAAAACCTGCTGCCATTCCTGTTTCAGGGTCTATTTTATGCTGGTGCGGTTTGCTGCTTGTGAAGTGGGAAAGTTGGTGTCCTCCATTCCATTTCCCATACAGGAACAGGCCTGAGCAGCAACTTACCTCCACACTGGTAATAAGGAGCATCCTCTATGGCCCCTCAAGGCAACAAGCTAGTTTAAGAGGTTCAGGATTGGTTTCTGTGGCACTAAAGAGAGTTATGTCCTCTTGCAAAGAAGAATTGCCAGGAACCTTAGGAAGGACAGTCACAGGGCATCAATGGCACCTCTGCCACTCTACCTAATATTAGGACTAGCTATGAAGGTAGTGAACGATCTCTCAGTTTCATGTGCATCTATAAAACATGATGGCAGAGGTGGCAATGATCAAATTTATTTATTTATTTATTTATTTATTTATTTATTTATTTATTGATTTGATTTGATTTGATTTGATTTGATTTGATTTGATTTGATTTGATTTGATTTTTATTCCGCCCATCTA